TGACTGGGGTTGACTCAGGTTTTGGCTTGAGAATTTGCCTATCTCTAATGGTCTTGTCAACTACCTTGCCACTTCTCGGTGTAGTGACAATTTGGACTTGGCCTTGTAGGGTTTCCTTGGTTGTAGGATTTCCCACATGAAATTGGCCTTGTGGTGGTTTTGGTTCGGCATGAAACTTCCTCTTTTCATGTGTGGTCATGGATTGGGTTAACTTTTGAATGTGGCTTTTAAGATCCTTGAAAGATTAAGTGGTCTGGGTTTTAAAATCAATAAACGCCTGAGTGAAATTATTGTTATAGTTCATTTGGCTTTGCATGAATTGATTCAATGTGTCCTCTAGGCTCCAATTTTGTGGTGGTTGGTATGGTTGATATGCGGGAGGTCCTTGAGGTAGTGGGTGTAAACCTTGTTGTTGGTTCATGGGAGTTGGCTGTGTGTTTCTTCAACTGAAGTTCAGGTGGTTTCGCCACCTTGGATTGTATGTTTCAGAGTATGAAGTGGAGTAAGGCTTGTTGAAGTTAGAAATTGCATTTGTTTGCTCTAATAGAACCTCTTTGAATGCTAGAATGGTAGGACACTCCCCAGTAGGGTGTCTTGTCAGCGCACAAATTCCACACACTTGTTCTGTGGGAGGGCCAACATCAATATAATGAACCTTTTTTTATCTCTAAAGCTTCAAGCTTTCGAGATAGGGTTAACATTTTTGTTCTTAGGTCATCATCATCTCTCAAGACATACTTACTCCTTGGGTAGTAGATGGTTTGACTTCAACAATGGTAAGGGAGGCTGAGTCCCACATCTAAGAACTGTTAGATATGGTGTCAAAAAAATTGAATGCCTCCTCCGAACTCTTACCCATGAATTCTCCTTTAGCCATCATTTTGAAAAATTAACGTAGTCTAGTGGGTAGGGAGTCATAAAAGAATTCTACCAAAGTCCAATTCTCAAAAGCATGGTGTGGATAGGAATAGAGTAGATTCTTGAATCTCTCCCAACTTTGGTAAAAGATTTCTCCTTCTTTGACCAAAAAATTCATGATTTGTCTTTTCAGTGCATTAGTGTAGTGTAGAGGAATTTTTTTTTAAAAAAATTCATTTTGTAGTGCCTACCAGTCAGGTATTGAACGAGTTTTTAAAGAATTTAGCCATTGTTTAACTTTATCCTTTAGAGAAAATGAAAAAAGTTTTATTTTGGCTAGCTCAGAATTATCTTGAAATGTTTCACATACTTCCTCAAATTCTTTTATGTGCAGATATGAGTTTTCTATTTCGAGTCCATGGAATTAAGGGAGTAGTTGAACTGTCCCTGTCTTTACAGTAAAGAGAGATGCATCTTCAGGAAAGATAAAACAATAGGGGATACAATTTCTTGTGAGATTTAAGTAATCTTGCAATGTTCGAATGTTAGGTACTTCCCCCTCTCGCAAGATCTTCTCCTCGTCTCACATTATTTGCTATCCTATTTTCACAAGAGTCTGTTACTAATCTAGGTGAAGGTGGTTCAGGTTGATTCACAGACCCAGAAAATTCTGCTGGCAAATTTTGATAGTGAGAACGTCCTCAGACATAAAAACAATTAAAACAAATTTATACACAGTAAAACAAATATATATACAAAAAGAGAGGTCTTTTTACTTTTACCTTGAAAACACTTTTTATGGTTCCTCGGCAATGGCACAAAAAATTTGACTTGATTCGATATGTGTACACCCAAGTGCAGATGGTCAAGTTGTAGTAATAATCCGATTAAGTCCAGAGTCGAATCTACAGGGAACTATGACTACTATTTTGAAGTAAGCAGTGATAGAGACTAAGTAACTGAAAATCTTGAGAGTTTGAAGTTATGAGATTTCTTAGATAGAATATAAGATTCTTTCTAAGAAGTTTTGTAGACAAAATATAAAATAAATTCAAATGTAAACAGTCACCCTTTAGCTTGAGGATCTGAATATGTAGTTAATCATCCAATTTATTATACTTGTGCTTGGTAACTCAATTAACTCCCGTGTCAACAACAAGTTAATCGAAAAATAAAGGTGGATTGTGAGAATTAAGCACATGGTTCCGATGCCTTTCTAGAAGTTTACAACAATTTTCTGTGCCGAGACTCAACCCGTCTACAAATAAGCAAGTGTTTCTAAGAGGCATCCAACCATGACGTTAATATTCCATCTTTTAAATAAAACACAATAATGGTGAAGATTGAAATGTTGTCATGAAGATTTAGTTGGGATACTTACCTTGAACCAATGAGTCTTTCTATACAAGAGTCCTCCGTGTAATAAAAAGAACCCACGGTTATACAAAGTACCTTAGCTTTGTTGGATGCATTCAATCATTCAATAAGCAAGTGAAATATAAAACATTAAAGTATAAAAGAAATGCACAAATATAACTTTTGAATAATTTATACATATTCATCATCTTTTACTAAAGAGTGGAAGAAGAACTACTCACTCTTCATGACTTGGGTAAAGCTAGAAAAGTAAGTGATACTTATCCCTCCAAGTAGAGGAGTTACAAAGTGAAACACACTAAACAAGGAGCCGATCTTCAACGAAGAATAAGTGAATCACGTTCCACCCTTCACGGTTTTGGTAAAGCTCTAAAAAGTGGAAGAGTTTTACTTTTCTAAGAAAGAAGGAAGCTCATGCAATGGAAGTGAAAGAAATGAACAATGAAAGTAGAAGAAAGTTAGTCACTTTTAGAGGGTTGTTTCCTCAACCAGAAGATGGAGGATTGCATCCTCAACCAAAATATAGAGGGTTGTTTCCTCAACCAAAAGATGAACTATCTCCCTTTATACATGCAAATACAATTCTAAGACTAGCCATATGAGTGGGAGTCTAAGCCTCTATCAAAAACTCTCTACTAGTTTTTGGTGTAGTCTAAACCTTACAAACCAAGTTGTAGTCCTCTACAAGAACCATCCTCCCCTCAAAGGCTCCCTCATAGGGAGTATTTATAGGTAAGGAGGAGGAGGGACAAGAGAGTGTGAAGGAATAGTGTATGTTGCCCATGTCCAAGTGAAAGCCAACTACTGTACAGCCTGCCTGTAGAGAACATTCGAACGTGATCTGGCGTTGGAACGTTGTTTTGCTTTATGAGCGTTCGAACATTGTCTGACATTCAAACGTTTTCTTCTGTCTTTGCTTTATGGGCGTTCAAATGCCAGATTGGGCCTGACCTTTTCACTCAAGTGGACTGTGGTCTTCTATGGAAACTTATTTCCACACTCCATGCACATCTTGACACTTTGCACTCATCATACTGGTCCTCAATCAATTCAAGTGGACGTTCGAACGTGAGTTGACGTTCGAACATGGTACTCAAGTATGTCAGGGTCTTCCTTCTTGGCTGCAACATGCCATGTCTTAGTAGTCAGGTCTTCACATGATTTAAGGTAATGCTCGAACGTTGATTGGTGTTCGAATGTTCTTGCCTTGGTCCAAGCTTTTCCAATTTTGCTCAAGAATATGCTGGGGTTATATGAAAGTCTGATATTCATTGCCTTTGGTCCCTTGTGTAATTTATGCCTTGAAATGTCATCATTTAAACTCCATCAAAGTATAATTAGTCTTAAAAGGGTATAGTAATATGCTAATTTTAACTACTAATCAAGTGTCACACCCAATATTTATTCGAGATACACCTGCATCTCGGACTATCTTCTTCCACCGTTTGTTGCATCGTCCACTTTCCCAAATCAACTCAAATTTGATTAGGGTAAGATGGTTTTATGATTAATCATCATACTGCAAATTAGTTATCTCCTTAGGTTTCTTTAGGTGTCTCTTTGTCTTATTCTCACATAATTGAAGTTCATTCTTTAGAAAATGGGGTATGAACACTTCTCTCTCCGTCCAAGGTAGAGTCTCTTCCCTACGCCACCATGGTGAATAGCCTATGAAGTTTCTTTCCTTCTTTCTTGTCTTTTTCTCTTCCTTTCTCATCTAACGGATCTCAATGCACTAGGTGTCACCTCTTGAAAGCCCTAAGGCAGGTCTCTCAAATGAAGATAGTAAATAGCTTTCGTCTTCATCTGACTTTATATCTTTTCTGTTCCCTACGTTTTTGTCTTCTCTCTAAGTCTCCTCTGCTTTTCTTCATTTCGCCTTTGCTAACTCTTCTAGTATATTCTTTGTTCCATACCTCCTTTTTTACTCTTTCTTTCTATGTCTGTCCGTACTCACAGATTCAACTATGGAACTAGCTCAACTTTCCCAAGGGTATGATCCAAGAATGTCCCCAGAATCCCCAAACCTAGAACATCTAAAGGCAAAATTATCCCGAGGCTCTTCATCTACAAATCAGTTGCACCCCCAGAAAAACAAGCAGTGAGAATACAATTATAGGCTGATGGGCATGCAGAGGAGTTTTGCCAGCAAGCTTGCCTCATTGGCAAGCTCTTCACTAATAAAGTCCTCAATCGGAATGCTGTGAAGAATATTGTTATTAAAGCATGGAGGGCAGAGCGAAGTCCACAAATCAGAGATAGTGAACAAGGTACTTTTATCTTTATTTTTGCAAATGAGGAGTTAAAGTGGAGGGTGATACAACATAGTCCCTCCTCTATTTAAGGCTTATATTCTGGTGCTCAAGGAATGGAAACCAAACCTTCTGATTTCTGAGTTAGATTTCAACACGACAGAGTTTTGGGTTCAAGCTCATGACCTTCCACCAAATTTGATTACGCCAGAAAATGTGCTCAGAATAGTGCAATCTTTAGGAAAGCCAGTGGAAAGCATGAAGCCCTTGGTGCAAAAGAATATTTGGAGAAACTATTTGAGAACGAAAGTCTTGATGGATCTTACAAAACCCTTGCCAACACATTTCTAGCTTCCAAGGGTAGGTCAAGCGGATAGAAGAATAGCCCTAAGGTATGAACATCTTGGGGAGTTCTGCTACCAATATGGGAGACTGGGGCATGATCAGGCAAACTGTAGTTTCCCTCTTAGTGAAGACCAATAGGCAGTTTATCGACCACAGTTGAGAGCAACAATGGTATCGCCGGTGGATCGTACAAGCAGGGATGAGGCTGTAATGAAAGCTTTTGGCAAAGGGGAGCATGAAACTTCACATTCCCAAGATGCATGGCCAGATTGGGATATTGGTACAAATCAGGACGAGTATGCAGAGCAGGTACACGCACAATTTTTGTCAGATATGATTGAGACAAGCAATGATACAGGGTTACGTGGCAATAGAAGAGTGGGAACCAACCGAAGGAGAAAAGGCAAGAGCAAGAGGATTTGGATTTGATGTCATGCCCTCACCCATATACAAATTTTCCCCTTGTGCGAATAGAACCCAATCCTAGACAAGCCTAGCGCCATGATCTAACCCATAGTCCACCTTTTCACAAACAAGGCACATACCAAACTCAGGAAACCAGTGATACAGCCAAAAGCCTACCTGAGCAGTTAACTTGTCCTGCCCAAAACACACTAGAGTTCACACCTTGTGAAACTGAGGACCCCAATTAGCACCACACTAGGACACATCAAGCTATACTTATTAGTGGAAATCTCCCAAGTGCCCAAAAAAATACCATAACACAGAGTTATAACCAAGCCAATGATCAATTAGTACAGAAACTCACTTCAATCCCAATGACAGATACTGAAGCAATTGTTGATAGTTGTATGGCCTATGTGTTTCGCAGTCTGTCTTTGAAGAGGCAAATCCCAGAGGGTTGTTATAATCCGAGGGCTCCAAAGTTTTGGAGAAGAGAGGATGGCTACATTTGTCAAGTTGAGAAAAGTACAGGTTCTCCCTCTTTAGTAAATCCTTTACTTAATGAAGAACAATTGGGAGGTGAAGAGCAAGAATATCATATCCAAGAACCTGAAGAATCTATGATGAACTCCTCTGTAAGACGCAAATCTGTCCGCAAGTTTAATGGGAAGAAATTTACTATGCAAGTGATAAGGAAGAATGTGGAGGATTTGAGTGAGGTTAGGGTGGAATGAACTGAGGTAACTTACACTACGGCTGAGGAGGCGGGCCTAATCATGCCCCCACGCCCATCATGAAGCTAGTGGCACGAAATTGTCGAGATTGGGGGCATCCTTGACCGTTATGGCTTTAAAGGACCTATGTGTCCAATATATACCCCAAGTTGTGTGCTTAAGTGATACAAAGATGACGAGTTTTATATTGGAAAGGCTGAGAAGGGAACTGAGGTTTGATAGGAAGGTGGTGGTTGAGCCAATAGGCTTGTCAGGAGGTATATGTATGATGTGGAAAGGAGAGGCAAACCTTGTTGTTGATCAATGTAGTCAATTCCATATCGATGTTACCTTTAAAGGAAAGAGTGTCTCAAGACAGTGGCACTTGAGTTTTATCTATAGGAATCCTGATTATAAGGAAAGGATTGTTCAATGGGAGAGGCTAGGAGCCTATGGTAAAGGCCTTGATCTCTTGTGGATGTGTTTGGGAGATTTTAATGATATTGTGTCTTACACAAAAAGGAGGAAGAGTGAGGGAAAGTCAAAAACTAAGGACTTTTAGGGATTTCCTAGATGGGAATGGTTTGATTGATCTGGAGAGTAAAGGGTATAGATTTACCAAGGATAATCATAGAGAAGTTCAAGCAAATGTTAAGGAGAGACTGGATCGAGTATTAGCTACGGCTAGTTGGAGGTTAACTTTTTCCAATACAGTGGTCTTTGCCCCACCAGCGATAGGGTCTGACCATTCCCTTTTTGTTCTTGATACTGAACAGCCAAGTAGTAGGGTTAGGAGGACTTTTAAATTTGAAGCATTTTGGACAGAGGTAGATTAGTGCAGTGAGGTTATTAGTGAAAGCTGGGGGAAACAAGTACAAGGATTATGAATATATAAACTGAGAACTATGGTACAAGTTTGTTGCAGCGACCTAAAGCACTGGAGTAACAAATTTTACAGAAATAGTAGGAAGGAAATTGAGGCTATTAAAGTAGATCTGATGAATCTGCATAATGGTCAAGACCCACACAGGGGGTCTGGTGAACAGGATGTTCTTAAAGCAAAGCTGGAGAAATGCTAGAAAAGGGAGGAGCAGTACTGGGGTTAGCGATCCAGACTTAAGTGGATACGATATGGAGACAAGAATACTCAATTTTTCCATGCTACCACTATTCAGAAAAGGCAAAAGAATAAGTTGATCCTTTTGAATAACCTTGAAGACGACTAGGTGACAGGGAAAGATCAAATCATAAGCCTAACTAGGGATTATTACAGGCAGTTGTTCACCACAGAAGGACAAAGTAATTATGACTACATCCTGCAGGCAATACCCCAAATGATTACTTCCGAAATAAACGAAGCCTTATTGAGTTTACCAACTATGAAAGAAGGGAAGGACACAGTTTTCAGCATGGGAGCAATGAAATCACCTGGACAAGATGGCATGCCTGGGCTTTTTTATCAGAAGTACTTGGGCATTATCAAACTAGAGATACTTAATGTTGTCCAAGCTTTTTTCCAAATAGGTTTCTTATTGAAAGAATTGAATGAAACAAATATCTATTTGGTGCCTAAAGTTCTTAATCCTGAGTATGTTGGGGATCTAAGGCCTATAAGTTTTGCTAACTTTTCTTATAAAATTATTTCTAAATTGATGGCTGCTAGATTGAAGCCCTTTATGCCTTATTTAATCTCACAAACCAGAGTGCTTTTATTGGGGGAAGACAAATACAAGATAATATTATTGTAGCCCTGGAAATCTTACTTTCTATGAGATTACAAAGGAAAACTAAGAAGTACCAGATGTCTATTAAACTTGATATGGCTAAGGCTTATGATAGAGTAGAATGGGACTTTTTGAAGGGATTGATGGATAAAATGGGTTTTCATCCTAAATGGGTTAATATGGTTATGCAATGTGTCACCACAGTGAGGAATAATTTTCTTGTAAATGGTGAAAATGCATTCTCTCATAACCCTAGTAGAGGTTTAAGACAAAGAGACCCCATCTCCCCCTATTTGTTCAATTTGGTCACAGAATCTTTGTCCAAGTTGATTGAACAGGATATGCAAGATGGAAAAGTGAAGGGCCTATAAGTGAATAAGCATGCTCCCATAATCTCACACCTTTTGTTTGCTGATGACTCGATTTTCTTCTTAGAAGCTTCAAAGGTTGACTGTATGAATTTGATGAATACTCTTAATATTTACTGTGATGCAACAGGACAACAAATTAATATCAACAAATCAGTAGTGTTTTTTAGCAAGAACACCCCTCAGCATATCCAAAGGGAATTGGCCCAGGTTCTTAGAATCCCTCTTATACAAAGCATAGAGAAATACTTAGGCCTCCCAACAAAGTGGAGCGGATCAAAGAAGCAGACTTTAGCTTGGATCAAAGAGAGAATCCTGGGTAAAATTGTAGGGTGGAAGGAAAACTTGTTGAGCCAGGCAAGGAGGGAGGTTCCCATTAAGGTTGTCATACATGCAATTCCAACATATGCCATGATGATTTTCAAGTTTCCTAAGTCTTTTTGTCAGGAATTTACAGCAAGTGTGAAGAGGTTTTGGTGGAGTAAGAACTCAGGGGAGAGGGGGCTTCACTGGAAAAGATGGAAACTCATCACAAAAAGGAAAAATGAAGGAGGACTAGGCTTTAGATATTGAGTGTTTCAGCATTGCTCTATTAGCAAAGCAGGCTTCGAATCTTCTCCAACACCCCAATTCACTATGGGGGAGAATACTTAAGGCAAAGTATTTCCAGGATTGCTCTATGTGGGATGCTAAACCTAAAGCTTCAGTTTCCTGGATTTGGAGGAGTATTTTGGAGGGTAGAGATCTTTTAGCCAAAGAAGTATATGGCAGGTTGGAGATGGTAGTAAAGTGAAATGCTGGGAAGAGAGAAGGGTGCCTGGACAAGGGAGAATTGTGAATTCACGTGATACTATTTTGAGTAGTGTTCAACAACTTATGGTTCCAACACAAAAGAGATGGAATTCAGAGCTTATTAAGGCTACTTTCTCCACAGATGTGGCAAAGAAAATCCTTCTTATCCCTCTTAGTGAAATATGACCAGAGGATGTTATGAGATGGAAATTTACTAATTCAGGAAATTATACTGTCAGAAGTGGGTATCACCTTCAAATTCAAGAACAGGGGAAGCAACCAGAAAGGTATCAACCTTCTTCTTCTTTTCAAGCCCCTGAGGATTTATAGGTTTCAATCTGGAGAGTGAAAGCTACTCCGAAGATTCAATCCTTCCTATGGAATATTGCTAATGGAGCCTTGGCCACCAAGTGGGAGCTATGGAAGAGAAAAGTTTTAAAAGCCCAATCTGTACAGTTTGTGGGGAAGAAGAAGAAACTGCTGAGCATCTATGTTAGTAGAATCGAGAGTTGGCTTATAGAGTCTTTTCAGGCTTTAAATAATTTAATTGACGATCCGAATGGAGGACAACCACTTATGGTCTATCTGTTTTGGTTCATTTCGAAGGCACATAACGAGTGGATTTCCAATCATCGTCAACCCATACCAAAAAGGTAATTAATCAAGCCTTTTGTCTCTTCATGAGAGGCAGATTATGGAAGGAAAACAAAGGAGAGATCAGCCAGGAAGAACTCCGCAGCCTCGTTGGGAAGCTCCTCCTTTGGGTATGATTTCTTAGACATGCGATGGTGCTTTTTCAGCAAAGACTCAACGAGGCTCTTTTGCTGTGGTTGCTCGTGACCACGAGGGGAGTCTTATAGCAGGACGAGCTGGAGTGATGGCTGCTGCTTCTTCTTTGGTCTATGAGGCTTGGGTAGTAAGGGAAGCTTGTAAAGTGGCTCTGGAAGAAGGCTTTAGAGAGGTATGAGTGGAATCCCACTCAAAGCTTCTCCTTGATTCCCTCATCAAAAGCCAGGAATCATCTCTCAGGGAGATTGAACCCATTCGAAAAGATATTTGGGAATATGTACATGCGGTCCCTTCCTTGGCTTTTAAACACATAGGTAGATCAGGAAATTAGATTGCACACTTTGTCGCTCAACAAATGCAGAGAGGTAGCCTCCCCCCAGTGGTTATCTAATCTTACACCACAACTTATGCAACTTATCAAATAGGCATGTCGCCAAGGTGTGGGATGATCTGCTCTGACCCACTTTCTTGATGTTCTGTTTTTCTATTTTTTTTGTTTCTTTCTTGATGTTTTACTTTGACTCTCTGGTTTTTCAATGAAATCATATTTCGTGATAAAAAAATGTTTATTCTTTGGATATGAATCTATCACAATTGGTTTTTGTACGACTATACTAACTACAAAGTCAATATGGGTTGTGGTAGAAAGCTCTGGTGGCAAAATCTTGAGTAGTTTTTGGTGTAGAACAAGTTGTGCAATTTTATATTTTTATTTTATTTTATTATTTCTTAGATTTAGAATTTAATTAAGAATATTTTAGAGTAATTTGTCTAAACCATGTCAATGTTCCTAATTTATTAGACATGTGTTGATTTATTTTTAATAACTATCCTAAGACCAGTGACTTAAGTCTGTTTCGTAAATTGGGGCACTAGGTAAAAGCGGACTTAAGTTTATTTTAGAGTAAGTTTTATACTCAAGTAAAAAAAATCATTTATTTGCTGCTAACAGGATTCAAAGGTTGGACCTCATTGAAGGACTTCTAGCGCCTCCCGTGTGTTTTCATTTTGGATGTTCTAAAAATTATTTTGGATGTTTCCATATTTTGTCCTTATTTTTAAAATGGAGTAGTAAAGAAAAAAAACAAAAACATTCACCAAACATTTTTTTATTTTATTTTTTTTCCAAAAAATGAAAACAAAAATACCCAGTTACCAAACAGGTCCTAACTTATTGAATTATTTTATTTTTGATGAATTAGGTAAACATGGATAGCCTAACAATGAATTATGTGGTTTACTTACTGATGATACTCAAAATGAAATAAGTTTGGATAGGATTCAAAAGTAAGATGGTAATCAGTTTACTTACTGATGAGCTCAGGCGCAGAGGTTAGTCAATCAGGTC